CCCTTTTAGGATCCTTTTTTATAAGGGTGCCGTACTCTATTGGGGACCTGAAGGGGACTGAAGGGGACCCTAATTTAGAGAACTACCCGCATACACATACAGATCGAATCGCTCCTACTGTTAAACCCTTGCTTTTCGAAATTCCATAGGTACTGATCGGTCAACACTGAACCCTAAACCCTAAACCCTAAACCCTAAACCAGCCTGATTCAATCCCGGAGCCCTCAACATCCTGCCTGGTTCCCTCTAGAGACTCTGGAGTCAGAGTCTAGAGCAAGACATCCTGCCTCAACGCGAATCCTGTTTTTTGTGTATCTCTGACTGGTGTCTTTGAGTTTCCGGCGTTTTTTGTTTGGTTAGGGGATCCTGCAAGAAGCGGGGTCTTGCAAGAAGGACGAAAGCTGCATTTGTTGGGGCGGTTGTTTTCCACAGGCTGAGACTATCGCACGTTTCAGCCCGTTTTTTTTTTTCAACGCGGAACCCTTCGGCCCTAATTCCCATAACCAGTTCGACGTTCATGGATCCTTCTAAGTAGGCCGGGTAACTTACTTCTAAGATCCCCATAAACCCTAAACCCTAAATCCTAAACCCTAAATTCTAAACCCTAAACAGGTTTAGGGGTTAAGGGTATTTTTTCTAGTAAACCTCAATTAGCCATGAATCTCCCAGTGTACATCAGTTTAGGGTTTAGGGTTTAGGGCTTCGGGTTTAGGGTTTAGGGTATAGGGCATCAATTCCGACACATGCCCTGTTTGTGCGGGCATTTTGCTTGAAGCAGCAATGTTGTTGCCACGTCTGGATGGCGACTACGTATAAATTTCTAGATTCGCACAGTCGAGATCGGAATACCGGGTAGCGTTTTGTATTCAGAGGCTTTCCGGCTTTTGCGTTCACTGCCATCGCCATGGCGCACACGAAAGCCACCCGCCGCGTGCTGCCTGCGGCCCTGGCGCTTGTGGTGGGCCTTGCGACTTGGAGGAAGATCTAGTGGCTTCGTTGCTTTCTGATTTCGGCTTTGCTTTTCATTTGCAGTTCTTGTGTGTGGGGGGTTGTATACGGTTTGATACAGGGTTTCAAGCGCCTTCTTTACAAGGTTGTTTAGGGTTCAATATAGGTCCAACACAATTAGCCTTTCTCTAAGCCTCCACAGTGTAATCTTTAGTAATGATCAGCTGTCTAAGCAAGAAAGCATGGTCTCAGCAGGAAAGTTAATGGAAGGTTCGTCACTATCGTCAGGGCCAGCATGAGAATGTGCTGTATCAATGAATGCATCTCCACCACCAACATCGCCTCTCGGTGGTTCAGCCTCCTTTTTCGTTTTTTTTACACATCTCGTTTACTGGTGTATATCTTCTATTAAATTTGCTCATCCTGCATGTCTTTGCCATCATTAGCATCATCACCATGAGGATCGGCACCAGCACGGCGTATACATCTTCTCCCCCCTGGCAGGATCTTTCAGCAGTGCTTCAAGCCTTGCCACCTTGATTCACAGTAAAGATAATGTTGGGTTGTTGGAACCATATCTGTGTAGTTAAAATACCTCCGTGCCAACAATCACACGGAACAACTCGAACAACCAAGTTCAGTTTTCTTCAACCCTCCCTAAACCCTAAACCCTAAACCCTAAACCCCTAAACCCTAAACCCTTCGCTCCCTACCGAGGCAGCCCTCCCCCCAAAACAGGAACTCCCAAAGTCACAAAGCTCAGGGAGACTCCAAACACCATCCGAGAACTCAGGGTTGCGGCCACTCACGGCTTACAGTAGGGTGTAGCCCCAACCCTCCAGGTACCTACTATTTAGGAATTTAGGGCCCTAGGGGCTCTAGTACCCTATATAGTAGGTACCTGGGGGGTTAGGGTAGGGTATTGGGTCTGGGGTTTAGGACCAGTCGGTTGACTAGCAGCTCAACAGCTCTCATGCTAAAGCACGCAAATGCAAGCAATGAAGTCTCGGCCCTGCACTTCTGGCTTAGGCTTTAGGTTTTAGGGTTGTTTAGGTTTTAGGGTTTAGGGAATCTGAAACACTGGTTGAACGTAGGTTTGAAGCATGGGGTGCTCTGAGTTTATGGAGTTTCCGGGTCCTGGCAACGGAAGTGGCCCAATCTCTGAAACTTGAAATACCCCTCGACCCCTGAACCCTGCATGAACTCTACAACTCCAAGCCCTAAACACGCAATGCCAAAACCGCAATAACCCTTGTTCAACCTCATATGGAGCCCCAAAAAAAGTTTGCAAAGACTCCATAAACAAATTAGGCGGCCCGTAAAGCCCTGAGCCTGACCCTGTCATGGCCAAGCTAAACCAGGACAGGCCCCTAAAACCCTAAAGCCTAAACCCTAAATCGTAGGGTTTAGGGTAGGGTTTAGGGTTTAGGGTAAGCCAAAGCTTTCCGAAGTCCTTGCGAGGTTTCCTTCGATTCCGCCTTCATTGCTCCCGGTGCGAGCCCATCCAGGCGCGAGGTTTAAGGTCCTTAGGTTTGCTGTAGGGCCCTTACCCTTTTTTGGCTATGGCCTAGTGTTTAGATTGTAGGGTTCAGGGCCCTGACCCTAGTGGGCTGAGTTGTAGGGTCTACTACAACTTTCGGTGCATGTTTCCATAATGGTTGTTGTGCAGGTGGCCTTTTTGATATGGGTTGGAAGGTCCTGGCTGAAATCCTTGACCCCTCAGCCCAAATTCAGCCAGCTACAAAAGGAATTCAGCCAGCTGGAATCCTTGTACCCCGCAAGGATTTCAGCCAGCGACACCCCAGCTTCGGTTACCCCGGTGCCGGCGCCGCCCCGTTGAAAACCCGAGTCCCTTAAAGAACCCCCATCGATGCATCAGACAGAAAGAGAGAGAGTGCCATGAATGATATGATGATGCTGCGTTTGCTGCGGTCTTAGGGCGTAGGGGTTCAGGGTTTAGGGCTAACTCCTTAACCATAACCCCCACAACCACGAAGCCAGTAAGCCCATATTATCATATTAAAACCCGAAAACCCCCTAAACCCCTAAACCCTGAGACACCGAAGTCCATAAAGCCCATATTTAAACCCCGAAGCCCCCCTAAACCCTAAAAGGGTTTAGGGTTTAGGGTTTAGGGTTTAGGGTTTTGGGTTTTGGGTTTAGGGTTTTACCCTCTCAAATTCGATGCTGCATCGAGGAAAAAACAAAGGGGCGCTTTTGTAGTGGCTTGGGGCTCAGGGTTTTGGGGTGTAGGGCTCTGTGCAAACTTTGCGGTTTAGAACACGGCGCTCCGGAGAGCTAGGGTTTGGGTCTTGAGGAGGTTTCGGGTTTATCCAGCATGGACCCGCAAGCTGAAAGCAGGAATTAACTTTCCATCTGCAGGCTATCCTAAACCCTATAGACCCTAAACTCAACCTAGCTGCTGATTCCCATGCAGTTAAAGCAAGGCCCCGAAGCCCAAAAGCCCAGTGCATTTCCCAAGAGAGAGAGAGAGAGAGAGAGAGAGAGAGACAGAGATGCGATGGGTGACGAGGTGATGCTTTGTGGGCATGAGCAACCCAGGGGGCCCGGCACCGGGGTAACCAGGCACCCACGGCCAAGGATTTCAGCCGGCTGAAATCCTTGGGTCTAACCTTCTCCCTGGACTCAGTCGAAACCCCAAGATCACAGGATTTCAGCCGGCTGAAATCCTTCCAAACCCGGGTTGAGGGGTTGACCCGAGCACGGAACCCATATCTTTTTGTTACTTGTTTACCTTAGGGTCGACTTAGGTCCAAGTAGCCCATAACTCCTATGACCACACACTTGGGTTTAGGACAGTAAGTGCTGCATGTCTTCTTTTAGAGAGGTATGTGATCATGAGTAATTATGAGGTGTTTGAACCTAGCCTATACTTCCATGATTAAACACCTTGCCGAACCCCTCATCCTACAGCCTAAGCCGTAAGTGCAAACCCCGAAGCCCAAACCCCAAAGCCCAGTTGGACAAAACAACAGAGGAACAACAATCCTAGAGAGCCCGGCTTCAATTCCTATAGCCTGCGGCCGTTCGACTGTAGTCCCACTGTGATAATGATGCCCAGATCCTAAACCTTAAACCAGAGACTCACAAATCCCTTAGTTAAGAAAATATACCTGCCTTACGGCAAGCCGTGAAGACACACAGATAGAATATATGTATGTATATATATGCTTCCCCCCCCTCCAAAGATCTGCCCGATTTCGTCGGAAAGAATCCCCTTAAATTTGACTCCATTAGTCCGAAAGAACCCTTCTATTCCATAGCATTGCCTGACAGCCTTTTGGTCCCCACACCACCTAGAATATCATGTATATGTAGTCTGCGTAAACCCTTGTATACGTCTCTATGCATATGTTAAACGGGTGATGGACTTAAAGCATAAACTTACAAGGCGAGGAATAAACGAATACAAACAAGCACGACTAGAC